TGTTATGGGGGGCGGGGGGGGGGGGGAAGAGACCATGAGAAGCGCTGGGCTCCAGGGAGTGACAATGAGTCTCCCAGCAGTTGTGGAAGGAATTGGAGTTTCCTTGAGAAATCTTAATACTCTGAGGCTTCATCAAAACGCAGAGCCAGCACCTGACACCTCAGCCAGCGTTGAAGGAAGGGTGTTTCTGCACCCCAGGGCCCCAGCCCAGGATCAAATCCTGGGAAACGGGGATCCAACCTCTTTGCGCTGAGGTCGACCGCACCTCCAGGAGGCGCCGCGCACACGAGTGCCGATGCGGGCCGCAGCCGCTGCGGGCCGGGGACAGGCTCCGGCCGGAACGCACTGACCACGCTGAGCTCCTCCGAGCAAACGCACAGGTGCCTGTGACGGTCTGGCCTGGGCCCACGACAAGCAGGGCGAACAGTCTGGAAGTCCGGCCCAAGCATCTTCCTCCACCCGGGCCCCCTGCGAGTGGTCCACCAGCGAAAGGGTCTAATCACCACATGCCACATCAAAGGGACAGCCCGACTCTGCGCAGCAGCCCCGTGGAGCGCGCAGCAAACACACTGAAACCGGCCACAAAGATGCACGGCAGGCGAGACTGCGCCGTGGCGAGGGGGACACAGCGGCGCCGGGGAATGTCACAGAGCACGCCATCCGTGGGCAGCAGCCGTGCTTTAAATAGATGTAAAGAGACACCCACGGAGCTCAGAATTACTGAGGCAAAGGTTTCACAGCGAGCGGAGGACATAAATCACAGCTCCCCCGTGCCCAGACAAAGGCCCCATCGCCGCGGCAGGCGGACTCCGAGCATCCGTCCGCGCCGCGCGCAGTGCTCTGCGGGAAAAATCAAAGCGAGGTCGCTGCTTGGGAGGCAAACATGTGGCCGGTGCCAGGCCTTGCTGCCCCGCTGACCTCCAGTTAACGCTGGAGTCAGATATGGGGGCGTGAGGGCAGGTGCAAGCTGCGGTGGTGGCAGGCTGCGGCCAGCTTTGAATTCTGCAAGTTGTCGGAACAGGTGGAGCCCCACCTGGAGGAGAGCAGGCAAGAGGGCAGAGAAACACGCAGGAAAGTGGGTGGGTCCGAACCTGCTTCGCTGCTGCCACCAGCTGATGTCCTGAGGTCAGGGATAAAGAGCTCTGCTCACCTGTCTCTCCAGCCCCTTACCTGGACAACGGACATGAAGCAATAATGAAGCCCCAGGTTACCCTTTTTACAGCTTCTCCCGTCCCAGGTCTTTGAAGAGCGCGTTTCTGGCTGACGCCCAGAACACAATGCTGCAGCTCCAGAGGGCGTGGGAGAGGGTTAAGTCCCACCAACTCTGACATGGGACGTCATCTCCCCAACATCACAGAGCTGGGAGGGAGCAGCCCCAGGACAGAATCCCCCACTCCCAGACTCAGCCCCCTGCCCTCACCTGCCTCCTCCAGGTGGGTTCATTTGGGAACCACCTGACTAACCATTCAGAGCAGGTGGCCAAGTGTAGTTGTCCCTGGATATATAAAGGGACCTCCTTCCTTGAGCACTTTTCATTTGCAGTCAGCTCGTGTAGATAACGCGGTCTAGCTCCTCTGACCCTGTCCCCAAAGACACTTCTGTACCTACAGGGCAGGGGCCAGCAGCGGCCAGGGGAAATGCCTGAGCTGGCAGTCGTTAAGTGTTCAAACTCACACTTGCCGGCGATGGGGGGCGTCCCTACAACACCAGCGACGAACTGTTTTCCCAAACCACAGGCTGGGCTTCCCACGGGCATCCTTTAAGCACTTACGTATTCATTCAACAGACATTTCTAAGGATCTGCCGTGCTCCGTATGGAGTCAGGTGGCGAACGGGAGCGTGCGTGTCTCCTGCCCGCGCGGAGCTGCAGGTCGGGAGGGTCAGACAGCCACACGCGCCAGGATGAAGGTGCTGTCGTGAGCAGATCTGCAGAGCAAGGCCCTCTGCACCTCGAAAGTGCCAAAAAGGGGGCTCAGCCTGGCGCGGGGGTGGTCGCGGGTTCCCCCAACCTGTGCTAAGTGAGCCCAGATCCGAAGCTGAAGCCCTCGCGGTGTGAATTGGAGAGGATCCGTATGCGCAAATGTCCGGGGGCGGGAGGAGCACCTGCCGTCTGAGCGGGACCCGGTGGCTGGAGGGGGAACAGCGGGAGCGAGCCAGCGGGCAGGACAGCCGGGCCGGGCCCTCGTGACAGGCTCGAGCCTGTGTCTTGAGAACGGTGGGACCTATTACATCGTTCTCAGCGGGAGAGGCGACCTGATCAGCGGAGCGTTTAGGGATGATTTCTCTGCTCAAGGGCGGAGAACGCGCCGGGGCGGGGGCTGGCGGAAAACCAGAGACTGGGCTGGCATCCCAGGTGAGGAGTGGAGGTGGCGGGGAGTGAAGGTTGATGGCAAGAACGACAGATTCTAGAAGCATCTGCAAAGCCCTGGTCTTCCCCCACCTGGGCATCGACCAGGGCTAAAAATACGAGTGTAAGGTTTTCACGTTTTCTTTTTACCTAATTACAGAATTAGGCGCAGCGACTTCACACCGCTCCAGACACACCGGATTCGGAGCGGGCGGATCCCGGGGCAGCCCAGGCAAAGCGGGACTGGGCGTCCGTCGCCTCGGAGCCGTGTGGGAGGAGGGGGAGTCGCCGCCGGGACGAGCTGTTTGCCTCGCTCCCCTTCCCTTTCTCCACCTACACACAGAGCAATGCGCCTGTGTGATTTTTCCCCTTAATTTTCTTTCTGCCGCCTCATTAGCCGAGGAGCGCGCGGACCCTAATGACATCAGCGTGTCATAGTAATGTGGCAGCTGCTCCTCCACAGACAGCGAGGAGCACCGCAGATTTTTAAACTGTGTTGGCATAAAAATAATGAAGGCAGCCAGCTGCCTGGCAAACGTGAGGGGGCACGGCGCTGACGGGCTGGGGAGGGCCGGGGAGCCCCAGAGAGGTGGGACAGAAAAGAGACAGGG